CATTGTCAATGGATCATTACATCACCACATCATAACCAGATCTGATCATTACCCGACAACTTTTGTTCAAGCAGACACTTCTTCATTCAAACATGTCGTCCAGATGCTCACCGGAACCTCATCCCCGAGATCCCCTGACTCGCCGCGTCCTCCGACGACTCCTTCCGGCAAGAGTAACTTCGTGATTCCACCGATCAAAACCGCACAACCAAAGAGACATTCAGGGAACAAACTTTACGAGAGGAGATCACACGGAGGATTCAACAACAACCTCAAGAACAGTCTCATGATTAATACACTCATGATCGGTGCCGCAAGCCCGAGATTCTCGCCGAGAAATCAGGAGATTCTGTCGCCTAGCTGTCTTGATTTCCCGAAGCTAGCACTTAACAGCCCCGTGACGCCGTTAAAGCACGGCGGAGACGGTAACGACGTCGACGGAGACCCTTTTGACAGGATGTCGCCATTATCGGAGGAAGAGAGAGCGATCGCCGAAAAGGGTTATTATTTGCATCAGTCGCCGATTTCGACTCCGAGAGAATCTGAGCCTCAGCTTCTTCCTCTGTTCCCGGTGACTTCTCCGAGAGTATCGCCGGAGAAGTAGACTGACTTCTTGAAAGAGAGACAAGAGACGATGTTTATAAATTTTTACTGCGACTGTTATTTTCGTTTTTAACTTTTCTCTGCTTTAATAATATCTTTTTATCATCGCTTCGATTTACTATTTACCAAAAAAATTCTCAAACGCTTTATATAAAAAATAAAAATAAAAATCTCAAACGTTTTAACAAAGATAAGATACTCGAGAGTCGCGGATATAAACAACATACGCACGATTTAAAATTTAGATAACTTGTGATCGAAAGAAAATATTACTACAATTTCAAGCGATCAATTAAATTAGTGTATAATTTTTTAAAGAGTAACTCATAATTATATTATTATGAGTTTACCGTTGCAGTTTTGGATTAAGATTATAGTAATGATGCGTTAAGGGAGATTTGTCTTTTGCTATTTTTCTTTGTTGTCAACAGAAATTTGTCTTTTGCTTTTTGACTAGTTGTTCTTTGCATCATCAAATGTTATCATGTGATGATTTTAATCATTATCTTCTAAATTTCTTCGTCATCGATGAAAGTTGATTACTTGACGAAATGATATATGTCGTTTTGCTGCTAAATTTTTAATATTGATCAAATCAAAACGAGCGGCTAAGTAAAGGGATATGTCATGGAAAAATTATTTGCAGCTTTACTGCTGAAAATTACGT